TCCTCTGCTTGTATCCTTATGTCCGTAGGCCCTCTTCCCTTCAGTCGTGTCCCTTTGTCCTCTGGTATCATTCTCCTCATATTTTCCTCTTTCTCCTTGCATAATAATTCTGTCCGTATCCCTTCACCCTTTACTTGTGTCCCTCTGCTCTCTGGTTTTCCTCTCCCTATATTCCCCCCTATCCCTTTATATAGTCCATCTGCCCATATTTCCTCATCTCACACTTGTATCCCATGCTTCCCCACACTTGTGTCCCTCTGTGAATGTCGCGTGATGTGTTCGGGTACCTAGGATAGTTCACGTACCGAGACATTTTTTACACAAAATTTTAGTTCAACTTCCGAATTGTTTGAGAACGGGAACTATCAAGCTCCGAGGTTCCACTATATGTATAAAATTTACATTACTAATGAGGAAGTGTAAGTTGCACATTAAAGGGATTCTATAGTGCAAGGAATACAAAGTTGTATTCCTAACACCATAGTTCCCTCTAGTCCCCCTCCATGGCATGGAAAGGGTTAAAAAAAACATTTGTGTACTCACCCGATTCCAACGCCAATCAATGAGCTGAAGTGGTCTAGATGCTTATAGTGTCCCTTTAACAATTCAGCAGAGAAAGGTCTGGGCTCTGGGTGCCTAGGGGACTCTCACTTTATGTCAAACCACCTAAAATGGTTTGACCCAGGCCCAGGTTTATTGGGGTTGTGTCTCTATATCACATACCTTCCATTATGTGACTGTGTCCGTCAATCTCATACTGTTTTTCACCTATCCTTTAACTGCTTGTGTTTTTTTTTCCAGCAAGAGGTTACTTCTGCCACCCTTCTCTAGTCCTCCATTTGTGTCTCTCTCCCTGGTCTTTTTACTCCATTCTCCTACACATCTCTATATCTGATCCATTTGTGTCTCTCTCCCTGGTCTATTTACATCATTCTTCCACATGTCTCTGTCTAATTAATTTTTATCCCTCTCCCTGGTCTTTTTACCTCATTCTCCCACATGTCTCTCTATCTGATCCATTTGTGTCTCTCTCCCTGGTCTATTTGCCTCATTCTCCCACATATCTCTATCTGATCTATTTTTATCCCATTCCCTTGTCTATTTACCCCATTCTCCTACACATCTCTCTATCTAATTCATTTTTATCCCTCTCCCTGGTCTATTTACCTCATTCTTCCACATGTCTCTGTCTGATCCATTTTTATCCCTCTCCCTTGTCTATTTACCCCATTCTCCTACACATCTCTCTATCTGATCCATTTGTGTCTCTCAGTACACCCATCCTTTCCCCTTGTTCCTCTTACCCCCACCTCTATCCACTTATGTCTCTATCCAGTAAAAAGACTGAGTATAGTAGGAAGTGTGAGAATATTGTTCCCGACTTCCCGCTGCAAAATGACAAATATAGTAAGGGAATGATGTTCCCATGCCCTGTTACAGGAGACCAGAGTAACTCCCTGGCTTGGCAAGAGCTCCTTCCAAAACTGTGGAGTATAGGAATTTGCAATAAATTTATTAGTAGGTATCTTTAATTATCATTACTATTTTTAGTTATATTTTCTGTATCCTAGCATCATTTTTATACATTATCTATAGAACGGTCTGAAAAAGAATGTGTCAACTCCAGCTTGGAATATCCCTTTGAAATATTTTTCTGTTACAATAAACAGCACTAAATATCAAAACAGAAGGAGAAATATCTTGACAGGAAATAAAATACGTGAGTTACTTTCCAAAGATCTGGACTAAAATTAGAGTGGAAACAGTATGTCATTGCTTTGGTGTCATTTGTATCAAGCATCTGTTACGAAGAGCAGGGATGGCTGTCGTAGTCTAGTCTGAGAGCCGTGAGAAAAATAACATATTTTCTTTCTCTAAAGTATGCAAATAATTCCACTTTTAAATTATGTGATGTATTATTGATTTTTTTTTCAACTATTAATCCTTATTAAACTAGCAAGAAAATCTCTTTTTTTCTTTATCAACCTAATAAACTAATAATAAAATAAACATTCTAGGTTTTGTATAAATATGTATATCCACTCCCCCTCTCCCTTCGAGTAAGTGGGTTAATCTCATAAGAGCAGACATTAGGCTGTTAGAGTAGGACCTGCCAAAGATGGGGTACTTTGACGTTGTGGCAGGCTTATGCAATTTATGATCACATAATGTCACTAAACCCCCATTATTTTTGACTAGATTAGGTATTTTTCTAAAAAATAAAATAAAAAAATCTGTCAGCATTGAAGTTGCTATTTAGTGGATAAGTGAGTGCGCTGGATCTTGTGTAATATATATATATATATATATATATATATATGTTAAGACCTGCAGTGGTTATGGTACTGCGGTCTTCTATTCCTTTCCCAAATAGCTGAGCATAAGTGATTATAACTGCAGTTAGGAGATAGAGGAATAGTGTAGATGAATGCAGCTTCCAAGACGATTCTCCCCAGCAAGTAGAATATTCCCCAAGCATGAGTCTAGACTTCATGAAGGGTGTAACAGGAATGATTTTTATTGAGGCCACACTGGCTTTTATGAGAATCCTCCTGCAAGAGGACCTCCCACAGTAAACAAAGACAATAACCAATCAACATACAGATTTACAGTAACACCCGCCCATATCTCTGCCTGGGAAATATTAAGATAAGTTAAGGAATAACTCAATTATCTCCAGGCAGAGGACACACAATTTTCCCAAAAATTAGAACATCCCTTTACACACAAGGTATCTCTACAAATTTTGCCTGATAGCCCCGATCTGGGGGACCAACATATCCAAATTTCACCCAGATCGGTTCAGGGGTTCTCAAAAAGTATGGAAGTCATAAGTTACCGACCACACACGAGGCTCCTGCCCAAAACAGTTCCACGAATTCAGCGTGTGCGGGCGGTCAATTCAGTAAATGGCATAAAAACGAATAAAGTCCCGAATGGATCCTCCTGGCTCATAGGAGTGATTGCTTCCCTTGCTCGAATGAACCAAACTACTGAATGGCTGTTTGGCAACTAAAAGAAGCAGGCGTTCGGTAGTTTCAGCGGTGGTTCGGGAGGTTGAATGTCCGATTTTAGTTCCAGACACTCGATGACCAAGTCCCGCTGCCTCCTTTTGTGCAAATAAGATGGCCGCCATTTTCTATTCCACGTGGCATTCGGCTATATGAACGGCGGCCGCCCAGAGAGTGCTTAATAGACGGTTCTTTTGAAGTTAATGAGCCAGAAGGGTGGTTGGTGTTCGGTAATTTTAAACTGCCGAACCAATAAATCCCAATTGAACGAAATGTTGCAGAAAAGCACAAACACAGAAGAAAATAGCGAACTCAGTCTATTTTCTTCACAATATATATATATATATAGCGACTCTGATGAAAAAATAGAAAATGTAAAGTTGAACAATCACTATGGAACTTAATGGAATGTTGCTTACTTCTTTTGAAGTAAGTAACACCCATAGCATTTTAAAATCTCTATGCTGGATCAACAAAAATATTAATTTAAATTTAATGCTGGCAAGGTGTGCTGTAATCTACTGATATGAAAAAGCGTGCAAGATCATTAAAAACATATAGTTTATACTTCCTAATTTGTTAAATTATTTAAATGTGTGTGCAGTGTCACAATGATATGTATGTTCTCTCATTAATGGAATGTGACACCAGGAATTGATTTCAGCCATTACCTAATTGAATCAGAAATCACATCACAGGAAAATCATCAGATCCCATTAATTTGTTACAAAAAAGATAAATTTACATGTTGGTGTTTCTAAAGTGTATATATTTTTTTTATATCATTATTGATAAACTTCTATTTCAATTAAGGGGCAAGCTGTAACAGTATTTTTCTTTATTATTAAAGGACCACTATAGTGCCAGGAAAACATACTCGTTTTCCTGGCACTATAGTGCCCTGAGGGTGCCCCCACCACTAGTGCCACTAGAGGAAATAGGGGAAGGCTTAACCCATTCATAAACATAGCAGTTTCTCTGAAACTGCTATGTTTATGAAAAAATGGGTTAAACCTAGCTGGACCTGGCACCCAGACCACTTCATTAAGCTGAAGTGGTCTGGGTGCCTAGAGTGGTCCTTTAATCATGATGACATTTCTCTTTAATTATTCTGGATTCTGTTGACTCATTTACATAAAATGATAAGGTCATAAACTTGGCCAGGCCAACCAGCATGGAAATATGTTATCCCCTTGATGCACTGCAATCACTGTTAAGGTGGCAGACTCCCTGTAAACATTACATTTAGGGAGTAAGCAGAAGTAGCATTAGTTATAATTGGGTATTCAACCAGTGCATGAGCTTTTTCTATCTTTCTGTTCACCGATCCTAGATGGCAAACTGAGTCAAGTGTAAAACATTTAATTAGCAATGAAATCAAGCATGACATTGTTAGGAGCAGGAAAAATGCTTGCACTGAGCATTCAGATTCACACTATGACCTTGGTGTTATCCTTCCAATAGGCATCACAGCTGTTTCTGTGACAAGGAACAAATACTGTACCTGACAGAACACACCACCAGTAATACATCATGTTGTCTTAAAATGTTTCTCAATAGTTCCTTCCTGTGAAATGCCCAGTCTATTTCTAAACAGTCCTATCACCACTATTAATGTTTAATACCCTTGACAGAGATAGACATCTATATATGTGAAATTTTAATGGGGTAACAAATGCATGCTGAATGTCTTCGGGGACACAGCTGTCAATCACCATTCTGCTCTTAGATAAAGTGATCATTTGAGGGGGAGTGCTATTAAACAGACACTGATTGATTAGCTGTACCTGTTCAAGAGGTTCCACAACATCAACATGCTTCTCAGTTAATAGGCAGTAGTGGGCAATCTATAGTATATGTCTTTTTAGTAAGCACATTCTACCTTTGCGCCAATGTTGCTGATGTGTATGACTCCAATTAATCCCAGCCAGGGACAGTCACATCTGATAGTCATATCTCGTTTGGCCAGGAATGGAACGCTTTGCATTATTGTTGCTGTGGATTATAACTCCAGTAGTTCTCAGCCGAACTTTTTGTTTGCTGATAGTCATTATAGTCATAGTTCACTCCAGCTGGCAGTGCAGACACTTGCATTTCTATAAGGTATAGACCCAGCGTACTAAATGCCCCTTGTCACTCTCAGTCTGGCAGGCAGATTTGCCAACTCTCACAGTCATCCTCTTTGTGTCTATAGCACCAAGCATTACTCCAGTGGTGTGAGTGCTGCTGCTGAGGATGAGAGGAGTAGCAGTGCTCTGAATGAGAGGTGGCTGCTTCCAGTGTGACACCCACACTCCCACCCTCTCTTATTGGGCGTCTGGACGTCACAGAGCTCCCGGGGAGGGCGAGAGACAGGAGCTGGTTGGAGCAGTTGGTGGCAGCCAGTGCAGTGGAGCAGCACATACACAGTCACACAGACAGGGGAGGGAAACAGTTAAGGTGAAAAAGAGACTTTTTACAATCAACAGATTGTGGAACACTGACATTAGGAGCAGAGAGAAGAAGAACGCTGATGGAAAATGAATGGCTGCAGCTGAGTGATTGCAAGCACAAATATGCCTGTCGGAAAAGAGAATTAAACAGAGGTGATAAGAGGCATCAATCAATGTGGTCTTCAGGAATGGAGCAGATGTTGCTTCAGCAGCTCAGGAGCAATAGAGACAAGCAGAGACTGTGCCCAGCCATAGCGTAGAGGAATAGGACCAGGCACCGTGGCATCTTCTCATTGTTGGGGTGCGGCTGCTGTAGGTTTTCCCAGCCTTCCAGGAGCTGGAGTGGAGAGATACACTGTGGCACCATCAGAAGAAGACCCTGAGGTCATCTACAAGCTGAAGAGATGACTGTGGTTTCCGGAGAGAACGTGGATGAGACGCTGGTGTCCCTGAGTGCCCTGGGTCAGGAAGGGTATGACCCAGAAAGAGTGACCCAGGACTGCTGTGAAAGGGTGGTCATCAACATCTCAGGACTTAGATTCGAAACCCAGCTGAGGACCTTGTCTCAGTTCCCCCAAACCTTGCTGGGGGACCCCAGGAAAAGGATGCGCTTCTTTGACCCCTTGAGGAATGAGTACTTCTTTGATCGCAATCGCCCTTGTTTTGACGCTATCCTCTATTACTACCAGTCAGGAGGTAGGCTCAGGAGACCTGTTAATGTCCCTGTGGATATTTTCCTGGAGGAAATTAAGTTTTATGAGCTAGGAGAAGACGTGATAGAGATATTTCGAGATGATGAAGGTTTCATCAAGGAAGAAGAGAGACCCTTGCCTGACAATGACTTCCAGAGACAGGTTTGGTTACTCTTTGAATACCCTGAGAGCTCTGGACCTGCCAGGGGCATTGCCATTGTCTCTGTTCTCATTATCCTCATCTCCATCGTCATTTTCTGCATGGAGACCCTGCCTGAGTTCAGAGAAGAGGTCAGGTTGTCTGGAGAGCACATTATGATCAATGGAACCAAGACCTTCAAGGAAAGTCCATTCACCGACCCTTTCTTTCTCACCGAGACCCTGTGCATCATCTGGTTCTCCTTTGAGCTCCTGGTGAGGTTCTTAGCCTGCCCTAGCAAGCCAGCTTTTTTCAAGAACATGATGAATGTCATAGACATTGTAGCCATCATCCCTTACTTCATCACTCTGGGGACAGAGCTGGCTGAGCAACAAGGAAACAATGGGCAACAGGCCATGTCCTTGGCTATCTTGAGGGTCATTAGGTTGGTTCGAGTGTTTAGGATCTTCAAGCTGTCCAGGCACTCCAAAGGACTACAGATCTTGGGGAAAACTCTACAGGCCAGTATGAGGGAGCTGGGACTTCTCATATTTTTCCTTTTCATCGGTGTCATCTTGTTTTCCAGTGCTGTCTATTTTGCAGAAACTGATGACCCCGAGTCATTGTTCACCAGCATCCCTGATGCATTCTGGTGGGCTGTGGTGTCCATGACCACTGTTGGCTATGGGGACATGTACCCCCTCACCATAGGTGGCAAAATAGTTGGTTCCCTGTGTGCCATAGCAGGTGTGTTGACCATTGCTCTCCCAGTCCCAGTTATCGTTTCTAATTTTAACTATTTCTACCACAGGGAGACAGATCACGAAGAGCAATCACAGTACACCCATGTCACCTGTGGCCAGCAACCTGCCTCTTTTGGGGAGCTAAAAAAGAGTGATAGCAAACAATCGTTTAATAAATCAAATTACATGGACTCAGAAGACCCTGACGAAGCAAAATACCACCACCAGTACACAGAAAACCAACATTATCCAGAGCAAAAAAAGTTAACTGAAGTATGAGATACTGATGAACATACACACATGCACACACAAAGACCTTCTGATCAAAATAGGTCTATTTGACCATGAGGATGACCTCATCACTCATAAAGTGATAATTAAGAGGGTCACTTCTGTAGAGATTTTAGGAAGGTGGCATTGTATACAATGGGGTTTCAAGTGCTGGGAGAAAAAATAGAAAATTGATATGCCTGAGATTACTTTATTTTTTATTTTTTTGTGTGTAGGAGGGGATGCTACAAACAGACAACATAATTTACAACTAATGGTCTTGATTCTGTACATGTTGTAGCTATGTGTCAAATGTGCAAATGTACCATTTGCCCATGGCAAGGAAACGTTAGAGTTACAACAGCCGTAGAGGGCAACTCCCAGCAAGCTGAGACAGCTTCCTGAGCTTGCTGGGAGTAGCAGTCTGCAACAGCTAGAGCTACAGATTTTTACCTCTGGCTGCTATCTACTCAGTATGATACTATGACCCTATGAAAATCCATGGCAGGACTGGTTCAGTATGATTGTATCAATGAATCTCGTACCTTCTTATCAAGGACAATGCCCTCATGATGATCCTGGCAGGTGTTCCTGAATGAGGACATAGTTACTATGTGTGGCTCAGTATTTCCCAAGGAATATCATAACAGTGTTCACAGAGATGCCATTCTACCACAATCACACTAGCTAACATCATTTAAGTGGTATTAACTGCTACAGATACATTTTTGCATCCGTGCCATTACTTTTGTCTAATGGAAAGCCTGTCACAACAAGAATATGTTCTGTGAGGACTGTTACAAGCCACAGGGGGAACAACAGTTGTCTTTGGGAGGTGATGAAAACTCAACCTCAAAATCTCCCTCTTTTTTTAATTCGAATGGTATGGTCCTGTTTCTTAGAACCTGGCATTGCAAGGGTATCTCTTGTTTTGTTGCCCACAAACAAACACACACAAAATAATAATCATTGTAAGCACTTTAGAAATATACATTTAATGGCATGGAGGAGATGGTATTATAAGTTAATTTTCTCACCCCATCCTATGAACATCTGCGATTTTTGCACAGCGTTTAGTTTTTTTTTGTTTACATGGGTGCCAGCCTGGGCATTGTGAACCCATTTGCTGCTAGAGATCTCTGTACTGCTTGCCTCTTCAGCTGGAAAAAAAGGGGTTTATTTTATGTTTTACAACCAAATATTCATATCTGCAAGTGCCTTGATTTGCAAGGTAATGTCTGAGCATAGTTCGGTTCCCCTCTCCATGTGTTGGACCATTGGCACTTTTTCAAACTGGTGTGAAAACCACTGGGTTAGGCCAATTAGTTGTAATTTACAACCCCTGTTTTTCCAGCTGCTCTGTTCTGCAACTTCCATGATGCTTATGCAGTTTTATGCCTGATGAAGCATATTGTGAGGGTTGCACTCAACATCAGCAGGAATGACAGAGAAGTGATTGTTTATTACTGCCATATTTTAATGTATCAATTATGCCTAATTTAGACACGTGGGAGTGTTATTTTTTATCAATGAGATGGAAGCAAAGCAGATTTTTATAATGCACAGCACATCCTTAATTAATAGTATTGTTTTGATAAAAAAAAAAATGATGTCTATATATATGTTTTTATTTTTTTTACTTTCTGTTAATGAACAGCCTCCCAGCTCTCTATTTTTTTTTTTTAAACCTTCCAATCCCTAGACCCACCTGCACTCACATTAGGATACACTGATACACTGAAAACAAAATAGTTTATTCACTAAACTGTGTACTGCAGTGGATTGAAAACCAAATTGTTACATATGGCAAAAATAACCAAACTGTGATTAGACTTGACTTGGATTTATTTCAAAATCAGCTATTTTAGCTAAAATGTTACAATTTGGTGTTCCCTATGGTGTATACTTCATTCTGTAGAGTTGCAAGAAAATCAAATATAGGATTTTTAAAAATCCTGAAAGGGTGTCCAAACCTGACATTTCACTGGCAGAGAATTCTGGGAAATATAGTCCACCAATAGTTGGAAGCCAATGTTGGACATCCTTGGCACTATTAATATTTCTCATCAAAAACGATATTGTGAATTTAGGCCCATATTCCCTAACTCACCTTCTGCTGCTATCATCAGTAATCACTATATATATATATATATATATATATATATATATATATATATATAAATGTTAGTGAACCTTTACTATGATGCCTATTAACTGCACACATATCATTAGGTCATCATCAATATTTTAAGCTATTTGGAAAGTTAATTGACAGCAAAATATCAATAACTAGATGGTGGTAAAATTAATGTTAGTTCTGTAGTGACCACATTTCTTAGCTAATTCATACAAACTGTGTCTTCATTCTAAGACGTGCATTTTACCAAATTCATTGTGAACTGTAGCAGGTGTGTGGTAGGTTCAGTTTACATTCTGATGTTTATTAAAGAAAACAGCCACTGCACATAGCTTAGATATAGTTTAGATATAACACAAATATGTAATTGCACAGGACTTTCCACACTAGACCAAACATGGTACAATATACATTTCCTCAGATGAAATGTATTCTTACTATTAATTCTACTATCTCTAAAATTAAAAAAAGAATACACAAGTTATTTTGCAAAGTGTGAATATTCATGAAAATAAAGTGAATTCAAAGTTAATTTCAAATTTTGGCCCAAATTGAAAAAAGTCAGCATTATTCTTGGTTATCTTGGCATAAATGTGATTTTGATTCCAGCAATTCAGAAACGTTCCTGGAATTTACACTTTACCTGATAAATCCAATAGCCTAATATGAACATTCCCATTGATCTTACAAGATTTTAGGATATTTTATTGTTTTGAAATAAAAATATAAAGGATGTGGTAATATAGTACTTGAATAAACTTCAAAATTAGTGTCAATCCCTTCAATGATTGAATTATACTTATATACAAATTGTGAAGTATGACACACAATATGATTACAATGTCTGGTAGATTCAATGGGAAACATTAACAAATAATTACTTATTTTTTACATTTAGCCCTTGTAGTAATTTACTAAGTGAATTGTAACTGTGCACATATATTCAAAAATTTGAACAATTTGACCACATTGACCACACTTTAAAACTTTAAAAAATTCAGCAATGCGTTCGTTAACAAACATATAATTTTTTGCGAAAAGGATGTCTACTATGTATGCTTTATTTCACTATATATCACATTTGCTAAATTGTATTGGCAAAATTATTATTTTTATTGGTAAGGTAATAATTAGGGAAATCAGACAGAATCTTAATTATTGCAACTTTTCTTTCACGTGCTTTTCATATTTACAATAATTTTTACAAATGTGTCTAATTAGTACCTTTCACATTATATCTAAAACATTTTATGCAATATACTGTTGCTAAGCATAGAATCAGAAATAGGAGCACAGCTTGAAAACCCATCCACCTCATAGGAAAATATGATACATATCTCAACAATCTTTCATATTTATTTCATACATTATGTGGAAAACCTTATAAGGCTTTTCTGGGTGTGTGCCAATTTTATAAAAATTTTTGCTGGATAGTCTACATTTTCTTTACAGGAAACATACTTTTTGATTGTCATATAAAGTTATTCTACTATATATTTTCAACACAAATAAATTGCACAAGGTCTAATATTAAATGTTAGTAAAAAAAAAAAAATCTATATAATATACTCTATTTCATGTATAATTCATATAATCAGTCCTTTTTTTTCGTTAACAAAAAGAGCCATATAGGTGTCAGACATACGAGGGAATATTAATACAGTAGACATATACTTCTCGCAGTCATTTGTGTCTTTTGATCATTTGCCTCATCGAGAGTTAGTTTCTATATCCAATTCCTTTAAAAATACTGTTTTTATTTGTAGAAACACTAAATACATTAACAATCTTATTCTGCACTTGAAAATTACACAAGTGTATAGCAAGAGGAGAATACGAACTGGCCACATTTGCACATAATTATTAATGTTTTTTTACGGAAGTGAAGACATATAAAGTATACATATTTATAATCTTCATTCCTTCTGCATCATTGATAAATAACTCCCATATGATCTCATGTCTTTATTTGTCTTAGTATTTGATATTAGGTGTTTGGTTCAAATATAAGAACATTACATATTTTATCTTGAGTTGAAAGGTCTTTTATATCATTATATTTTTATATATTAAACATTTTGGTTCTTTTTAGATTTTGTTTACACCTTTTATATTCCCTTCTGTTATTTTCTAATGCTGCTCTGAATTAAGTTTTTTCTTTATTTTGTGAACTTTTTTTAGGATGGTAAAGATATAGTCAAAACATCTGTTGAGAACTTAGTCAATCAAGAATCACTGGACAATATGTACCATTGTGTATCTATTGTGAGAGATGGCCAATAGTTTGCATCCTAATATAACAGGTTATGCTACGAGTAACTAAAATAACTCCCAGTGAAAATCATCTTTCTTTTTTCTAAAGTGTCTCTGTTGGAAATGTTTTGTGTGGATTCTAATAGCACTTTTAATATTATGAAACTTCTAAATTTATTTTCTGTGATCCTATTTACTTGGTATCCAATGGTAAAAGTTCTTACCCTACCTGTATGTCTTTTAGTGATGTCAAGATTTGTTTTTGGCTTGTATGTAAGTGGAGTAAACCGCCAGTGACCACAATTGTGAAACACAGGGTGATGGCTTAACTTCACCAACAGTGAATTTAAGAAGATTAATTTTCAGCACACTAAGTGGTGGAATTATGTCTTTACTTACCACCACTTTCCTTTAGCAAAAAGCTAGGTACCAAAATGATTGTGGTGACGCCAAACACAGTACAACTTTAGTAATGATAAAGACATGATTTCACTACTTTCCATGCAGAGATGTTATGGTATTTGAGGACTGCCATAAAGTGGTTTATTCACTACAACCAAATTGCAATATTTAGACCATAATATCTGCATTGTATTCTACAAGTGAACTATTTTTGCAGTTGGTGCATTTTGGCCTACATTTAGTATCTCAGGAACTAACTAATTAAATACAACTGCTTGTACAGAAAATGCACAACAAATACACTCTTGTCTCTTCCCCGCTCTCAAAGCCATAAGCTATATTTTTAAGATCCCAATGCTTCTCAGATTTAATTTGTGAATGGTAAAAAACATTTCAGAAATAATTGTAGACTTTTTCCTTCAATGTCATTTCATCTATCAACATCACAATATAATCATATATAAACATGTCCAAAATAGTTTAACAATACATGAACAGTTGGCCTGTTAATGGGAGCCTCCATGTCTAATACACATCAAACTATTTTTATTTGCATATATATTTTTTCCCCAATTATGTTTAGATCTGTGGAATTATGCCAGCCAAACTATGGTAATTGGTTCAGGCTATGCTCATCCTATTTCTATCTCTTAGTGGTTATGCTCACCCCAGCTCCCTCCCTTATCCATTTTGCTGGTTTCCATGACAACCTGCCTGATGTGAAGCAATGAATAGACCTTTATGTGTGCAGAGGTAAATTCCTCTATGATAAATCTTAGAACAGTGCACGTGCTTGACCTACGACTTGCTGTTGTATAGACATAAGCAGTAAATATCATACATGAATAATGTATGTTCTATAGCCGAGCACTGGTGATTTTAGAGGGTATTGAAATGCCACTTGCATGCATATCTATCTTTCCATATCTCTGTTTCTTTTTGGAATTAAGTCACTTAGAAAAGAATTAAGGTGTAGATTTTTTTCCAAAATAGCTAAGTTTGAAAAAAATATTGCTGAATACCTGAGCTGATTATTCTATCAAGCTCTTTATCTAAATTTTGTACAGTTGTTGTCAATTCACCAGTTATAATAATTTCAGTGACTAGAATCTGTCTGTCTGTCTCTCTGTCTAACACAGTGGTTTATAAGCCCATGGATAGAACCCATATTAGTTCCCGCATCTTTAGCCTGTACACATCTCATTCATCAGGCCCCAGATAACTGCTCACAATAAATTCTCTAGAATGGTAGCACTACCTTCCCCGGTGCACTGGGGAAAGAACAATCCAAGCACTATAACCAGTACAGCCTGTTATTGTTATTTATAAAGCGCTAATAAATTCTGCAGGGACGTGCCCTGACACTGTCCCATTTTGAGTAGTCAAACTGTTTGACAACTTACCTGGTTCCCACTGGGCAAAAATAGCTCTACAAAGCCATGTAGGGACAGGCATGACTGAGCTCATTGGCTCAGGTGCAACCAGACTGACTGTGGGACCTAGTTTAGTTGTCAACCCATTCTAAAATGGTTTTCCTACCTACTAAGAGATTATGCTAGGACGTTCCTGTTCCCATGACTGTTACAGCGGGCTATAGTGGCTATAGTTCTTAGTGTGGTCATTTTAATGCTGCGAAAATCTAATTAGGGTGTTTTGCAGAATCGCTTGTGTTATTTATTATGTTGCCAAACTAAGGCTATGCATGTTCATTTTGCCTGTGTCGAAGAGGTTGAATCAATGGTTTGGATATGTAAAAACATATAAAATGGCAATCTGTGATGGTATACAATGTGCATAATAACAAACATTACAAACACCTCTAATGTACACAAAAACCTCAATGATGGAGTGTGCAAAGAAACATAAATGACCTAATATTAATATTGGAAACAGGAGTTTCTCACAGGTAAACCATAAATATAAAGAAGAATACATATATTGTAAATCTGTGGGATAACATATATAAATATGTGGTGATTTCCAAATGGCAACTCACATAATACAGAGCCAAAAAACACCTGTCTTTAGGTAGTGTAGCAGTTGGTGTCTTAAAAATTACATCCTACCTTGTGGATGAATGATATTGTTGGATAGTAACCTCGAACGGAAATACAAAGATCCACTAGTGCAGATGGTTATGTACATCAGGAATATTTGAATAAAGTAAGTTGTCAAAACTCACATAACCAAGAGCCCATAAATCCTGGGTTAAGGGTATATAGCAATGTGCTTTATATGGATAGCACCACCTTCTCAAGATAGCATGAACACAGCTACAAACTTCAGACAACCAGATCAATATATAGATTAAAATAACTTTATTACTAACAGTATAATATATTCCCTTTGCTGTACATATAAAATAAAAAAACAGTAAAATCAAAGATCCCTGTAATCCTCCGATATGAGTTTCACTGCATCAGCTTCCTCAATCAGTGTTTAGCTGCTGTGGTGACTCTGATTTTAAACCATCCAAGCTTTGTGTGATATCACAAACCCAGTTGTTTTTGGCTCTGTATTATGTGAGTCGCCATTTGGAAATCACCACATATTTATTCATTAATATATATAACATCTATTTTATCCACACAGATTTAGATTATATTTCATCTTTTTTTTATTTGCATGTTTTATCTATGAAAAACGCATGGTTCAAGTATTAATATTAGGTAATTTATGTTTCTTTGCACGCTCCAAAAATAAGATATTGTTTTATGTAAAAACATATGTTACGGCTCTCCCAGCATAAAAGGATTAAACCGCCATTTAGTAGAGTTTCCCTTTTTGTGGAGGTACAGGTACAGCTACTGTAGAACCCCAACTCCCGAACTGGAACCAGGGAATGCTCCAAACTCCCGAACAGTATACACAGTAGTACTCCAAACTCCCGAACGGTAATCTCACGAATAGCTGCTTACAGACGAACGCACACAGCATCCAAGCCGCCTACATTCCCAGCAATCAGTCTCTAACCACGTACAGTAAATCCCCTCAATCACGAGACCACGCTCCGTATTGAAGGTAAAACAGGATTCTGGTTTATTTAGGGCTACCTGCCCGGTATTTATGCAGGTCTCCCACCTGGTGGACACTCCACTAGGGGACCAGATGGAAGACTGTAACACAGACAGACATGTATCATATTCCGACACACAGAAGTAAAACATCCCTACAATACATCCTAATTTCCCTCCCTCTATCCTGGAGATAATTGGGAAGTAATCCAATTATCTCCCAGGACAGAGGCAAATCGCCATTATACACGTGGGGACACAGAGACAGTAAAATACATTAAAAAATATAATATTACATTTACTACACCAACCCCATACATGTCACATATCCTCAGATGGCTTAGATCTGAGCGCACATAACCAACGAATAGCGCTCAGATCACACACATACAGTTCAATTGCCATGGAGCCAAAGTCTTTAATTACACGAATAGGCTCCATGGCATAGCTCTTAAATCTGGGTTAAAACATTCCTTTAAGTAAAGTCTCGATCAATCCAGTGTTCGTTTAAACAACCAAAATAGAAGCAGGGAAGGCTGGAGGCTCAGCGGTGCCTGCACGTAAAAGTATCTGCTTTTAGTGCACTGATTCTGGGCTGAGCACTGCTGGCCGTCCGGGGAGCTCCATAACACCGCCACCGGGTGGCGGCTATGTGTAACCGCAACCACCCAGTACAGTCAATTAAGCTGCGGTTACTGGGTGGTCAATTGACGGCACACGCTAGCTTCACGGTGGTTGCGCCTTCGTGCGGCTTTCGGTAGTTTAACAGGGGAACACATAGGGACTGTACAGGCAGGGAAATAAACCGAACAAACAGACGAATGGAGTGAAAATAATTGTAATCCATATACAGACAGTTCTGTTACAACACATTTCAAGTATTTAATACATATTTATTGGAACATTAATGTAGCTATAATACATAAGGTGATATTAAAAAAAGAAAGCAGGTATAAATAGTAAAAAAACTAATGTTTGGGTCCTCAAAACTCAATAAAGCTTTCTTTTTTTGACCTGTTTGCCTGCCCTTACAAACACATGACATGTACACACACACTGTATTCCATTAAAGCCATTGAAAGGGAAAAGCCTTGTGGAGGAATGATAAGCGATACAGCATATTCTCCCAAAATGACAAACAAACAAAATGTTATTTAATATTAGCTACTGCTAGGTCCAACTCACATATGTACATGGAAAGCAACCAGCAATAAAACTTTTTCACATCTTGCTGTTTGGGTTTTCACTGTTTGTGCTTTAAGAAAAATAAGAATGAAAAATATTGATGTAATTTTAGGTCAGTGGTAATGCGTTACCAAGACTGATGCATTTTGCCGTTAGATTGATATTTTGCCATATTTTCTGCTATTTAGCAATATATACAGTAGATATATATTAAGCTTAGCTAAAATTATAAATAAAAACACTCTAGTTTTATTTAAATCAGACTTGATGCTGTAATGAGCTGAGCATTAACCCAATTTAATAAAGGTAACATTAGTCTCAAATGTTTTTGATTCCCAGGTTTATTGGGAATATAGAACATCAGAGAATTGCAAATTGATGCCAACAATGGTATATCTGAATAATAGCTGAACATAAGAATTTTAAAACTCAGATATCTTGGCCAAGATGTTTAACTCCATGACCAATTCCTAGCAGTTTCCAGTTTAGTGAATAACTCTAATTTCAAGATTTTTTTTAATCTATTAGACTATTTACCGGTAAATCCAATTTGTGACATTTGCATATCAGCTTATCACAACTCCTTACTAAGGGAAGGTGTTGTAGGACATGATCTTTATGATTTTCCTGTCTTGAATTATTGTATTGTTTTCATGTTCTTACATCAACTACAGAATTATATAATAAGCTGAACAAAGCTTTGCATCTTTTCAGCAGCAGTAAAGAGTTTGCACATTTGAGTTATTTTGCTCAATCCATCCATAGCTAAATTAGTGAAGTGTATGTCTGCCAGTACAAGATAACTTATTTAAGATAGACCTTTAAGTGGCATCACATGAATAATTCACTGTGTTTCTTGCTATGCTGCATTTTTTGTACATATACATTACCCTTGATTCATAAAAGAGCACAAAAAATATGAATTATTATTATTTATAAAGCACCAACTGATCCCGCAGTGCTTTACAATGGGTAATACATATAATGTGACAAAATAAACCATATCTGATCAAACATATCAATAAATATGTTCAATATTTAAAAAAAGACAAAATCCTAATAGACGTTTTAAATTAAATTATTAGTTGTTAAATTGCTAGATGTTGATATAGGATAATGAGAAAAAGCTATATCTATATGTATATATTGCAGGGCTTTGTTGAAATCATGATTATAATTATCTGTTTGAAGGGTGTATGTTTTATGTGTCTTCAGTTGAAGGTGAAGTCTAGTCAACGTATGTTATAATAACATGATATATACAAAAAATTGCTAATATGTATTTCATTAAATATGCACATTTTAAAAGATATGGTACAGATTGAAAAGGAAATGAATTCATAATTTTAAAGATGTATGGTTTTAATGTGTAACAATCAACTATGTTATTTATGTCTACGTGTACAATGTGTCTTCCAATATATGTGTTTAATTGGAATGACTAGAACGTTATGTAGTCAGGTAGACATGCTCTGAAAGTCTATTTGTTGTAGAGTATGACTCATATTGCTGCTGGCCATGATAGTATTTATAGAGCCATATTGTATTAAGACAAATATGCATCAAAGTCCTAAATGTGTAAATCACCAGGAAATGTTCCCGATTATTGCTCCACTTTTAGCACTTTCTCAAAAATTCTCTTTATACATATGGCTCACAGTCAACAGCAATTGGAAATACCAGCCATTAGCCATCCCTTTTACATTAATTTTCAATAAATCTTTTCTCATTTGATTTTATTGTAAAGTTTATTGTTATAACACTGTTAGGTCGATTTAAATGATCTGGAAAAAAACTAATTTCATCAATCTTTTTAAAAGGTTTCATATAATATCCCGTGAAAAAAAATCCAGGAACACGTTATTCAGAGATCATAAAGTGAAACATTTAGAGGCTGAAAGATATATATAGGGCAATCTGAAAATACTGGATTGTTTAGATGCAGATCTGTGATTTACATAGAGTTTCAGTAAGCTGACAACTGAAATGGTTGAACATATTGTTCAGCAAATTAACCCTTTTGAGCTCAGGCTCAAATATGTCTCAGTTTGTGCAGCTTTGGAATCTTCTTATTACAAAATGTTGTTGTGCTAGAATAGTGTGTAAAATGCCTCAGTAATTTTTATATCTCCTTATCACACTACACAGTTTTGATTGGTAATTTTATAATATAATAGATAACATTTGAAATCAAGGAGAGCCATTCTCTGGCACTACAAATTCTGTGTTGCTATGTCTGTCTCCCTATGGAATTCCTTCTATTCTATCTGATGCTGTGTTAGGTCATTGTAACTTTGCAGTTTTCTAAAGGACAACACAAGTTAAACTATTTACTAGACCTCATCATATAGCCGAAAAAAAAAAACCTATAGAAACTTTTGGAAAACGTATAGTTCATTTATTATTAAATGCTAGGCCTATAAACTATATGCCAAACATCTTGGACTTTTCCTATGCTTAAATAATCACTCCCAACACTACAACCCACCATAGGCGTGCGCACGGGGTGTGCCGGGTGTGCCTGGGCACACCCTAATCCCCGTGGCACGCCTATGGTTTGAGTCCTGCAGGAACAGCGTTCCTGCAGGCACTCAGTGCCCCCTGTTTTACCTCTTGCCCCTGTCATGGGAGGGCAAGAGGTGATGATTCCACCCACCCTGCAGTTCAGCCGCGGCGAGGGAGCTGTATGGTCTCTGCTGTCTGCTCCCTCTCGCCGCGCGCTGATGCCGGGAGCCGGAATATGACGTCATATTCCGGCTCCCAGCTGCAGCAGACAGCCCGCGCGGCGAGAGGGAGCAGAGAGCAGAGAGCAGAGAGCTCCCTCGCCGCGGCTGAACTGCGGAAAGGCGCCCGCCCCCACTGGACCCCAGGGAAAAGTCCACCAGCACTCCAGGTAGGAGGCTGGGTGGACATTTTTTTTTTTAAATTAAAATATAATAATTTGTGTGTGTGTGTGTCAGTGTGTCTGTGAGTGTGTGAGTATGTGTCAGTGTGAGTGTGTGTCTGTGAGTGTGTGAGTATGTCAGTGTGAGTGTGTGAGTATGTCAGTGTGAGTGTGTGTCTGTGAGTGTGTGAGTATGTCAGTGTGAGTGTGTGTCTGTGAGTGTGTGAGTATGTCAGTGTGAGGAGTCTGTGAGTGTGTGAGTATGTGTCTGTGAGTGTGTGAGTATGTGTCAGTGTGAGTGTGTGAGTGTGTGAGTATGTGTCTGAGTGTGTGAGTATGTGTCAGTGTGTGTTTCTGTGAGTGTGTGAGTATGTGTCAGTGTGTGTTTCTGTGAGTGTTAGTATGTGTCAGTGTGAGTGTGTGTCTGTGAGTATGTGTCAGTGTGTGTTTCTGTGAGTGTGTGAGTATGTGTCAGTGTGAGTGTGTGTCTGTGAGTGTGTGAGTATGTGTCAGTGTGTGTTTCTGTGAGTGTGTGAGTATGTGTCAGTGTGAGTGTGTGTCTGTGAGTGTGTGAGTATGTGTCAGTGTGTCTGAGTGTGTGAGTATGTGTCAGTATGAGTGTGTGAGTATGTGTCAGTGTGTCTGAGTGTGTGAGTATGTGTCAGTGTGTGTGTGTCTGTGAGTGTGTGAGTATGTGTCAGTGTGAGTGTGTGTGTGTCTGTGAGTGTGTGTGTCAGTGTGTGAGTGTGTGTCTGTGAGTGTGTGTGTGTCTGTGAGTGTATGAGTGTCTGTGAGTGTGTGTGTGTCTGTCTGTGAGTGTGTGTGTGTGTGTCTGTGAGTGTGTGTGTCTGTGAGTGTGTGTGTCTGTGAGAGTGTGTGTGTGTATATATATATATATATATATATACACACACACACACACGCGCGGCGTGTGTTTGTGTTTTAGGGTGCACACCCTAATGCAATAGGCTGCGCACGCCTATGCAACCCACTGTAGTGATTATGGTGTCAGGAGTGCCTGATGCCGCAACCTGTCTTCCCTAGCAGAAGTTAGATGTCTCTTTGCAGTTACACCTTACCAATACTTGACCATGCTCTTTGGATGAGAGCTTTTAACTGATGGTCTCAGCCATGCATTGCCCTCTTTAATTCAGTAGAGCTATCCATATTCTTCTGCAGGAGAATCCAGAAGCAGGGAACATGGCTGTGGTCACCCAGGTAATTTGT